GACTCAAAAATGGAGGACTAGAGATGGAGACTGGAGATCCCAGTTTGAGCACTTTCTTCAAAAGAAACCCATTTTGGTGTCAATAGAAAAGTTGTAGAGAATCAAAAATTAGGCTTATAGTCAAATTTCCAAAAAGATACACTTAGTAGTTTCGCTTAAAATGCAAGTTTTGTGAAAGTTCGTAATTTTGGCGTAGATTTGGCATTTCTTGAGAACCAGTTTTTGAATCGTTCTGAAAATTAGGATATAAGCTTAATTTTTGATTCTCTACAACTTTTCCATTGACACCAAAATGGGTTTCTTTTGAAGAAAGTGTTCAAACTGCGACATATGACAATAGCCGGCAGTTTTCAATTCACGAATCCAATAGATAACAATTACAGAAGAGATATGATTCCCAAGTACTTCTAGATTGAAACCAGGAAATACCAACAAGGATCTTTCAACATTCAAAAGAAAAAAGGGTTCGAAGGGCTAAAGTCTTTTCATATTATTATTATTCGTTCCTGTTGGCATTCGCTCCGATATTCTTTCAAAATGCATCGAATTCACAAAGTCATTTCGGCGAACAAACATTGATATCAAGGTTTTTGCGCTAAAAATTTAGCCAAAAGCAAAGAAAAAAATCTTTGTTTTTCTTTTCAGCCTTTTGTCTACGTGTAGCAGTTGTTCAGATTAGACATGGGAAAATTCCAACCGAAACCTAATTCCACCTTCGTTTTCTCAGCCGTCTCTTGGTCGATTGTTCTGAGATTTTGTTTACAAACAGAGAATGCTAATTTCTATTTGTAAACAAAATTTCAGAACAATCGACCAAGAGACGGCTGAGAAAACGAAGGTGGAATTAGGTTTCGGTTGGAATTTTCCCATGTCTAGTTCAGATACCATTTTTTCCCGATCATTTTTCCCGATCTTTTTAAGTTTTATGATCAACAAAAACTCAAAGAAACAAACGATCGAATTTTTGGTGAATCCCTTTTATTTACTTTCGAATAGATTAATTCGAATTAAATGAAAGAATTTCAGCAAAAAAGCAACGAAACTCAAATTTGTTTAAGCAACAAATCTCATGTAAATAACCAAATAAGATAAAATTCAATTGACTGACACGTTGTCAGTAGTTAGCTTAATATTATCTAATTACTTCAAGATTTGAATACTTTAAGCATCATAATTTTAATTTTAATTCAAATAAGAGTTCTTCTTGTTTTAAATTGATTGATTATTTCAAAAATATAAGTTTAATCTGGGGGTGGGACAAATGCGACCTTTTTTTTTGCTGGAAAAGGCCTTAGAAAAGGCCGTAGAGCTTCAAAAATGTTTTCACATGAGGGAATCGTATGCGTAGATTCAGAATTTTGGCAAATCAGACCTCGCTGACACGTCAAATTGGGGCTAAAAGGCAAAAACTGCGGAAAAGCGTTAAGTTGCGTAGTTTTTGCCTTTTAGCCCAAATTTGACGTGTCAGCGAGGTCTGATTTGTCGAAATCCGGAATCTACGCATACGATTCCCTCTATGAAAACATTTTTGAAGCTCTACGACCTCTCCTAAGGCCTTTTCCAGCAAAAAAGGTGCGCAAATGTCCAGGTGCGCAAAAAAAAGGTCGCATTTGTCCCACCCCCGTTATTTGTTAAAAATCTCAAGTTTGTTAGCCTAACATTTCTCTAAATATTTTGTAAAGTACGATAAAATTTAAATGTTTCAATTTTTCCCTTCCAAATCTAACTATAGCTAACTAGCTAACCCCAAGAATAAACTTTTTATTGTGCTAAACTTGTTGCAAACAAAACAAAAGCAGTTTTAAAACAAAAGCTTTACTTTCTTTCTTGAGCTTTTCATCAGTTATTTACTTGTTCAATAAAGCGATAGAGGCTGAAATTTTTGGGGGTGAGAGTGGGCGATTACTTTCGGGTGGATTGGCGGGAGAAACCGGGGAAGTTTGGTCCTTTTTTGGAGAAGAAAACTCCAAAACCCGAATGGCTTTCCCCCGGCCGCGATTTCCGCTATTCTTCAAAAAAAAAAATAATAAGAAATTGAATGGATTACGTGTAAACGTTATGGATGGATTTCTTGAGGTCATCAACTTGAACCCGGGTATTTCCTTCTTTCCTTCTTTCTTTCTTTCTTTCTTTCTTTCTTTCTTTCTTCCTTTCTTTCTTCCTTTCTTTCTTCCTCCCTGTCTTCGCCTTGGCTTGGCAAGTTAAGGTACCGGATAGCTCAATGGCTATAGGCTCAATGGCTATAGGCTCAATGGCTATAGGCTCAATGGCTATAGGCTCAATGGCTATAGGCTCAATGGCTATAGGCTCAATGGCTATAGGCTCAATGGCTATAGGCTCAATGGCTATAGGCTCAATGGCTATAGGCTCAATGGCTATAGGCTCAATGGCTATAGGCTCAATGGTTAGAGCAAAAAGCTTTCCAGATAGCCCGGAAAGCAAAAGGTCAATCCCATCTCCAGAAATCCCATCTCCAGAAATTTACCCTTTCTTTTCTAATCTAATCTACTTTTTTCACAATTCCTTCACTTCTTTATTACCTTATAAGTTTTATGAGCTGCATATGGTCGTTATAGTCAACAGATTCAGTGATAAAACCTGACTAGAGTCATTAGAGAGACTAGAGAGTAGAGACAGAAATTTTTGAATAATTGAATTATTGACTCTAATAGTGGAATTGATCAAGATCTGGTTTTGACAGTGCAGAGAACAAAAAAAAAACCGCAAACACACTAGCCTGTCTACAAAGTAACTCACTATATATAAAAAAGGAAGTGTCCGTCTGTTTGGCCGCCTGTCCGTCTGTTTGTCCGCCTGTCTATCCGTCTGTTTGTCCGTCTGTCTGTCCGTCTGTCTGTCTGTCTGTCTGTCTATCTGTCTGTCCATCTGTCTGTTCGTCTGTTTGTCTGTTCGTCTGTCCGTCTGTCTGTCCGTCTGTACGCGCGAGTTCTCGGCTTGCCGTGGGCCGATTTACATTATTTTTAGTTTCTTAGCTTAAAATTCTATGTAGTTGTGCATCTCATATTTCGTTTTTTAAAAAGCAAATGTCATGACACAGCAGGGAGTCGAACACGGCTCGTGTGGGCCGTAGACAAGCGCGCTGCCGGCTGCTTCATGCGTCAGCCCGCCATTAGGCGAATTTTTCGGTTGATATGAAATCTTAACTTACCAATTTTTTATTTTTCAGTTTGTTTTTAGTTTTAAGCTTTCTTTCCTTGTAAATTTCTTATTATGATGAGATTAGATTCAACTCTAAATGTTTTAAACAGCAACAACAAGAACAAGAACAAGAACAAGAACAAGAACAGCAACAGCAACAGCAAGAACAAGAACAAGCAATCTCTAGAAGTTTTAAAGATTTAGGTTTATGTTTAGAAAAGAAAAGTCTACGCTCAAGCTTGGGGTTTGAATGTTCAAATGTCTTCATTTTAATGTCTTTCATTAGATATTTGTCAAAAAAAAAACACTATTATATATCTTTATCTCTCAATTTGTCAAGATTTATGCAGTTTCCCGAAATCTTTTCCACTTTTCATCACACTCTTTACCTTTTCTTACTCTCGGTTGTAAAGCTTTCGCCTTTCGCCCTTTTCAAATTCGAATCGAAAAAGAAAAAGGGTCCTTTATTGCAATTTCTTTCCATTTTCCATTTTCAGGGGATCCAAAAGAAAATCGAAAGAGTTTCTTTTGTTTTTTCAGCCTTTCTTTCTCACTTCCTCAATGTGGTTTGATTTTTCTCCTATACAATTCTTGTTCTTGTTCTTGTTCTTGTTCTTGTTCTTGATCTTGTCCTTGATCCTGTTCTTGTTCTTGTTCTAGTTCTTGTTCTTGTTCTTGTTCTAGTTCTTGTTCTTGTTCTTGTTCTTGTTCTTGTTCTAGTTCTTGTTCTAGTTCTTGTTCTAGTTCTTGTTCTAGTTCTTGTTCTTGTTCCTATACAATTTCAAGAATTTCAGGCAATCAAACCGATGATTTCAACTTGAAGACAAGAAAATGAGCTCAATGTATTCAATTTCAATTTCAATTATCTCATATTTCTATCTATTTGGATATTCGTTTGGATTGAAAGGTGAGTTTTTGAGAGTCCAAGTCCAAGTGCTGCAAGTCGGTAACTTTAAGCAGTCTATTATCGTCTTTAAGCAGTCTATTATCGGCAAACTTTAAGCAGTCTATTATCGTCTTTAAGCAGTTTAGTATCGTCTTTAAGCAGTCTCTTATCGTCTATTATCGTCTATTATCGTCTATTATCGTCTATTATCGTCTTTAAGCAGTCTAGTATCGTCTTTAAGCAGTCTATTATCGTCTATTATCTATCGTCTATTATCGTTATCGTCAAATTTTCCGAGTTTAGGCCAAAAACCCGTGCAGTATGACATCGCTGAGTACATTTTGCGGAATTACAATGCGGATTTGATCCCCCGGAAAACGCATAACTCGACGGTGAATGTGCACATGAGCATGCAGTTGTATCAGATCATCGAAGTGGTGAGTGGAAGATGCTATGAGTGAGACTTATGTTAGATTTAAAAGAGGATTCGATTTCGGAGAACCTCTAGAGAAGGGTAGTAGGCTAGGAAAGTGATTTGAGATTCTGAAACTGTAATCAAAATTTGTGGAAGAGGTCGCGTATGCAAGATTATTGACTCGAAAGTTTATGGGTCGAGTTTATGAGCCCGTCTCCAAGCAGCAGTCGTGGTGCAGTGGATAAAGCAGTGGTCTACAAAACTGGTCAACCCGTTTTGGGGGTGGGTTCGAGTCCCCACTTAGCAAAGTTTTTGCAGGGTGGCGCACAATTACCGTTTTTTACGACAAACGGTTGATAAGCGCTCCGCCAACAGCATTCGTAGTGTAGTGGCTAGTGAGATGGTCTACAAAGCTGATCAACCTTTTTTTGTGGTGGGTTCGAGTCCGCACTTGTCAAACGTTTTATGATGTCGAGTCTATGATCGAGTTTATTCGCCCTCTCCAAGCAGCAGTCGTGGTGCAGTGGATTGGATAACGTGATGGTCTGCGAAATTAACCGACGTTTTTTTCTGGTGAGTTCGAATCCCCACTCGCTAAACGCTTTATTTATTCACAATATTTCTGATTTTCATCATAATATCACAAATTCTTATAGTATTTAGCTTCTTTTCCATATATTTGATCTTGAACAAAATAGAATGCCTGTTTTCTAACAAAACATTCTATAAAAGAGGCTAATTATTGTGATATTATAACAATTTCAATTTAATTTTGATCTTTCTTAATTTAAACAGCTTTTACACTGTTTTTTTTATGAAGTACATGAACTTATTATTCTGAAAATCAAAAATATTGTGAAAAATCAAAAGCAAGGTCGAGGAAGTAGGGATTCGAACCCACCACAAGTGGCCCTATCAGCTTTGTAAACTAACACAGTATCCACTAGACCACGGCTGCAGCTGGCCGGCGGCTTATAAACTCGACTCATAAACTTTCGGGCCAACTTTCGAGCCTGCAAGTTATTGCGCAGATTTTGATTACAGATTCGGAATCCCAGTCGATTTCCTAATGAGCTAGATTTCGTTTTGAAATCCCACGGTGACCTAGTACTAGACATGTGCCAGTACTAGTACTAGACACGTGCCAGTACTAGTGCTAGACATGTGCCAGTACTAGTACTAGACCTGTGCCAATACTAGTGCTAGACATGTGCCAGTGCTAGTACTAGACATGTATCAGTACTAGTGCTAGACATGTGCCAGTACTAGTGCTAGACATGTGCCAGTGCTAGTACTAGACATGGTCGTCAAATGCATTCTAGCAAACGACTTTTGCTTGCTAAAACATGAATACACTGTGATTTTACGCCTTGGAAAACGAAAGCCGTTTGCTAAAATGCATTTGGATTTAAAATTCACTCGATGACACATGTCTACCCAGTACCCATCCCTAGTCGTCAAAAAATGAGTCGTAGGTGATCTAACAATTGTATGTTCTTGTTAATAAACGTCATTTAGAACGAGCCTCAACAATATCTGCTGCTCAACGCATGGGTGATTGAGGTTGGGCAATCGAAAGTCAAAACAACAATGTTTTTGGAGGGATTTTCTCAGATTTCCTAAAAACCTAGCTTTTTTTAATCATTTTCACAAGTGAAAGAGTCCAGATCAATCAGAAAATCAGTCAGAAAAGCGAAAAGCTTTTGATTGATCGATTTTCGATGAGAATTGATCGATTTAGTTATGGATTTGGTATTTTGTGACCTAGTAACTTTGATTTTGTAACTTTGATTTGTGGATTTTGTATTTTGTAACAGATCTAGTAAACATAAATGTAAGAGAAAACGATTTTCAGCGCTGGACAGATCACATGTTGGACTGGGATCCAGCAAATTTCGACAACGTTTCCGAGATCATGATCCCTCACTACAAGTTGTGGCTACCCGACACAACACTTTACAACTCGTAAGCTTTTCTGGAATACTCTAATTTGGAATACTACTCGTAAGCTTTTCTGGAATACTCTAACTACTACTCGTAAGCTACGTAAGCTCGTAAGCTCGTAAATACTCTAATGAAAGGCTTCTATTGGTAATTGAATTCTTTTAGCAATAGCAATAGCAATAGTAATAGCAATAGCAATAGCAATAGCAATAGGATTAGCAATAGCAATAGAAACAGCAATAGCAATATAATAGCAATAGCAATAGCAATAACAATAGTAATAGCAATAGCAAGAACAATAGCAATGGCAAGAACAATGGCAAGAACAATAGCAATAGCAATAGTAATAGCAATATTCTAGCCATTTTCATCTTTTAGCCTAACGATGAATCATGCTGAAACCAAGCGACTAATGAATGCCCAATTGACAACAACGAATGGCAGTGGAGCCAATGTGAAGCTGCTCTATCCGACCATGTACAAATTCAGCTGTAATCTTGATCTCAGGTTGGGCGAAAATCTATCAAAATAGCAACAAGCGAGCAACAAATTCTGAGCAGTTCTGAGCAACAAGTTCTCTAATTCTTGAAAATCGTTAACTATCGCTCAACTGGCTTTAACATAAGATCAACTAAATTTGATTCGTTCTTTAGAATTCATTTTAAATTTCTCACTCTTTGTTCTTGCGTTCAATGCTTTATCGCAATTAGCAGTGTGCCAGCAAGAGCTGTTTTCAGCACAAGTACATCACAAAGAACAGGCCCAGGAAACAAAGAAGCTCAGGAGCAATAATAAAGTAAAGAAGTGAAAGGAATGAAAGAAATGAAAGAAATCGGAACTGGGAATTGAACCCTAGACCTTCTGCTTACCTTCTGCTCTTGCTTCTGCTTACCTTCTGCTTACCTTCTGCTTACCTTCTGCTTACTTTCTGCTTACCTTCTGCATACCTTCTGTTTACCACTTCTACCACTGAGCTATTGATGCCTGCTTTGCTCAAGAAGAAATAGAAAAGACAAGGAAAAAGAAAGAACAAGGAAAAAGAAAGAACAAAGACGAAGAAAGAACAATAACGACTCTAACAGCTTTTTTTGAACACCCAAGTAGCAAACCATTGTTTTAGAACGTTCAATATGTAAAAAATGTATACTTCAAAGTCATAAAAAGTATTTTAAATGTTTTACAAAAGAAAGCAAAAAGTTTTCGCCAAGAGGATTCGAACCTGTGGGGAAAAAGGATGAGTGGGATTGAGAGCTTGATTTGAAGTTGAATTTGAATGATTTGATTGATTTGATTTGAACAAAGAGCTATTCTTATAGCTTAATTTGAACAGATAGCTGATTCATAGCTTAATTTAACTAAAAAGCTGATTCTTATAGCTTAATTCGAACAGAGAGCTGATACTTTCAGCTTAATTTAAACAAAAAGCTGATTCTTATAGCTTAATTTAAACAAAGAGCTGATTCTTATAGCTTAATTTAACCAAAAAGCTGATTCTTACGGCTTAATTTGAACAGAGAGCTGATTGTAATAGCTTAATTTGAACAAAGAGCTGATTCTTATAGCTTAATTCGACCAGAGAGCTGATACTTTCAGCTTAATATAAACAAAAAGCTGATTCTTATAGCTTAATTTAAACAAAAAGCTGATTCATAGCTTAATTTACACAAAAAGCTGATTCTAATAGCTTAATTTAACCAAAAAGCCGATTCTTACAGCTTCATTTAACCAAAAAGATGATTCTTACAGCTTAATTTAAACAAAAAGCTGATTCTTACTTTAATAACTCCAAAATTTTCCTAAAAACTGAAGACAAGTGCAAGAGCGGAGTTCCCATAAGTCCATAGTTCCCAAGTATCCCATAAATCATCCATCCATCCCATAGCAATGAGATCCATCTTTACAGAGCTTTTCCTTTCGACGTTCAACAATGCAAGATGATTCTCGGGAGTTGGACTTTCGATAACACGTATATCGACTATTTCCCTCGAAAGCCCTATGTTGGGACAGCAAACTTTCTAAAGAATGAGGAATGGTCAGTGCTGGGAACATACGGTAAAGGATTTTCACATTTTAAAATCACTGTTCTCAGGTTATCGAGAAGAGATCAAGTACGCGTGTTGCCCGAACAATTACACCCTTCTGCACTACATCATTCATTTGAGAAGGAAACCGCTTTATTATGTGATCAATTTGATCATCCCAACTGGAATCATCACCTTGATATCAATTGTCGGATTCTTTACGTGAAGAAGCTTTATTTAGCTTCAACTTTAGCTTTAACTTTTTCTAGATCTTCCTCGATAAACGATATTCGAGAGGAGAAGATCACTTTGGGGATCACGACATTACTTTCGATGTCGATTCTGATATTGATGGTGTCGGATAAAATGCCATCTACTTCATCGTTTATTCCATTGATTGGTAAGAAAATCTGGCTGAATTCGGTCTAACTTCGGTCGTCTAACTAATAAAGGAAGATCAACTAGATTTTCTGGCCAAATCACATGAGCCATTCAACGCAGAATTTCACGCTGATTCCGACTCTGCTTTCCGTTTTTGATACGGAGCACTCTGTCAAAAGTCATGTGCGCTTAAAGTTTTGGAGTGTCGGAAAATGGAGACTGCCCAAGCCCAAACCTAGAAAAGACAATCAGCTACCGGACTAGAACCAGTGATTCCTGGTCTTGCGCCCTAACTCACTACCATTCAGCCATCGCTACCACTGCTCCCGGAAGACAGGGTTGTAAGACCACGGTTCGATTTTTGAAACTCTTTACAAACCTTAAACAAGTAGTGAGTTTTAAAAATCAAACCGTGACATTATCCTGTCTTCTGCGAGCTTGGGAGATGCAGCAGTGGCTGCGTGGAAGTGAGTAAGGAGGGAAGGCCAGGAATCGTTGGTTCGAGTTCGATCCCTGACTTTCTTTAACGCCTTTAGTCTTTAGGCTTTAACTTTAGGCTTTAACGGCTCAACTGTCTTTAGGCTTTAACGCCTTGTGTTTCCTCTATCTAAAGCTTCTCTAAAAGTCTCCTCAAGGCATTAAAATCTAGAAAAGAATAAAGACAAAGCCCGGACTCGAGCCAGAGTTCCCTCGCCTTGCGTCCCCTCGCATTGCGTTCCCTCGCCTTGCGTTCTAATTCACTACCACTCGGCCACCTCTGCACCTGCTGGGCTCCCGGAAGACAGGGTTGTAATGTAGCGATTTGATTCTTGAAACTCCTTACCTACTGAAACTTGCAAAACTTTAAACGCGTCTAACTTTTGACAGAGTGCTCCGTAGCAAAAAAGAAAAGCAGCATCATGATCAGCGTGAAATTTTGCATCGAATGGCTCATCCAGTTCGGCTAGCAAATCCATTTGACCTTCCCTTGTAAGTAAATCTAACACAGCAAATCGCAGTTTGGCTAGCAAATCCATTTGACCTTCCCTTGTAAGTAAATCTAACATCTCAATACCATTGATGTCAAACTTTGATTGATTTACGTTTTGATTTGACTGAACTTTGTGAATAGAACCAGTTCAAAGTTCAAAATGAAAGAGTTTTTGTTTTTGAAATTTCGCTCATTCATGAAGTCATCTTTTCAGAATCAAGGAAAGCCAAACCAAAACGAAAACGAAAGCCAAAAGACAAAGCCAACCAAAACCCAAAGAAATTGGGCTCTTAGCCTTCTGAAATAATCTGAAATTGATTTCTAAAATAATTCCATAAACGCGTCAAGTCTTCGTAAACATTTTAGCAGCTTTTTTCCGGAATGCCGAACTTTTCAAAGAATTCCCACCGAATTCTCACCGAATTCAGGCTGGTTCTACACCTTCATGATCATGTTGATCTCTTGCGCCACCCTTGCCTCATCATTTGTTATCTACATTCAGAAACAGGTAAAAAAAAAGGTTTACGCAAAATCCCTTTTCAAATGAAATCCCTTTTCAAACAGAATCCCTTTTCATTTGCAGGGTTTAATCGGGAATCCGCCCGAAAAAAGCACAATGAAATGGGCGAGACGAGTGGGGAAAATTTTCCGTGTCGAGATGCCCTTGATAATGAAAGAAGCGTATGCAGCGAAAGCAAGGGTAGGTTTTGAAAGAATTCGAAAATAAGTCTAGACTAGAGTTATTCCAATTCTCGTGAGACTAGGCCAGAAACTGAGCCAGAAACTGAGCCAGAAACTGGGCTAGAAACTGAGCTAGAAACTGAGCCAAAAACTGAGTCAGAAACTAAGCCAGAAACTGAGCCAGAAACTAAGCCAGAAACTAAGCCAGAAACTGAGCCAGAAACTGAGCCAGAAACTGAGCCAGAAACTGGGCCAGAAACAGCCAGAAACAGCCAGAAAGAGCCAGAAACAGCCAGAAACAGCCAGAAACAGCCAGAAACTGAGCCAGAAACTGAGCCAGAAACTGAGCCAGAAACTGGGCTAGAAACTGAGCCAGAAACTAAGCCAGAAACTAAGCCAGAAACTAAGCCAGAAACTGAGCCAGAAACAGCCAGAAACAGCCAGAAACTGAGCCAAAAACTGAGCCAGATTTGCAGCTAATTGCAAATCAGACCAAGCAAAACCAGAAGCCAGGACCCAACTGCTAAATCCGTTTAGCAAAATTGCTAAATGGTAAATAGTTTGGTGGCTAAAAGCTGGATTCTGATGAAGCTCGTAGAATTTTCCGCAGAAAAACGGAAAACGAAAAACCCTGCCCACTAGCCAGAGGCATTTTGGCTATAATTTTATTCAAATCCAACCTTTCTACAATATTTTGTTTTCATTCGATAGAGCAAGACTTTCTGCGCCGAATGATAACGTAGAAAGGTTGGATTTGAATCAAATTATAGCCAAAATCCCTCTGGCAAGTGGACGGGGTTTTTCGTTTTCCTTTTTTCTGCGGAAAATCTTGCAAACTTGATTCTGTTTCTACGATATTTTGTTTTCATTCGATAGAGCACGACTTTCGGCGCCGAATGCTACCAAAATAACGTAGAAAGGTTGGATTTGAACCAAATTATAGCCAGAATCCCTCTGGCAAGTGGACGGGGTTTTTCGTCTGCGGAAAATCCTGCAAACTTGATTCTGATTTACCCCTAGCGTTTCCAGACCCAGAAAAATGACATAATTCTGGTCTATATAAGTTCAGAATAGATAAAAAACGTAAACTTAAACTTAAAAACAATGTAAACCCTTTTCTCTTCAGCTTTACCAGCGCGACAAGGTAAGCTAGACCGATTGATTGCCGTTTTGCACTGAGTTTTGCAATGAGAAATCGATCAAAAGTTGAACTATGCATAGTTTGAAAGGATTATTTTAAAAGGATTATTTTAGATTATAGATAAAAAATGCGAAATTTTCAAAGAAAACGAAATTCAGGAAGACAAATTACGCAACGGTTATGCCCGGAAGCAAAGCGTCTGGCAAAAGATTCTCACAAGGTAAAAAGTTTAAGAATTCGAGAAAATTCGTAGATTAGCATTAGAGTTAGCTTATTAAGGAGTTAAAATAAAAAGGACCTCCAATTTTGCAGAGCTTCTTCATCTTCAAAACTCAACCTCAACCAAAGCCGACAAAGCCCAACCGGATCGATTGCCGACTCGCTTCTTTTTGATACAAAAGAGAAAAGTAAACTAAAAATTGAAGTTTATCGGACATTTGATACACTATTTAAATTGGACAGCCCAACACGAAGATATTTGAGCTCAAAGGGAGCGGGGCGACCCTTTATACGCACCCCGCCCCTTTTGCCATTGGTAACCCAACTTTGAGACCAAATTTCTTGGTGTTGGATGGTTCAATTTAAATAGTTTTGTATCATTAGATGCTCCAAGTCTTTCTCTATCGATTGGTACAAAAACCATTTAAATTCGACCACCCAAAACCAAGAAATTTGAGCTCAAAGTTTGGTTGCCAATGGCAAAGGGGGGGCAGGGCTAAGCAGATGTACGATGCCCTTTTATACGCATCCATGGGCGGTCGAATTTAATGAATTTTGTACCATTCGATGCTCCAAGTCTTTCTCTATCGATTGGTACAAAAACTATTTAAATTCGACCACCCAACACCAAAAAATTTGAGCTCAAAGTTGGGTTGCCAATGGCAAAGGGGGCGGGGCGCGTATAAAAGGTTTCACAATCAGCCAGATCATTTTTTGAGTTGAATGAAACAATCAAATTTCGAATCTTTGTCATTTAGTGGATCTGAACGCAGCGAGTTGCCCCGATTATTCGGCTTTGATGACCGATTCACCGAGGAAGAAAATCCAGGACCCATTGCGACGACCGCCAACTCTTAAAATCTCAAGAGATGAATCAGATCATCTCGTCATTCACCGCTTTCTCTAGACTCATGTAAGTTTCACGAGTTCACGAGTCACGAGACCCACTCGAAAGCGCTCTTTTTTTCTGCTATGACCATTCTTGGAGGCATTAAACACTTGAATAAATGAGCCAAGCTAGGCTAACAAGGAGAAGGCATAGAGTCATTATCGATTTTTTGAACTTTGCCTGCTTGAACCCAATTGGAGGTGCCGTCCATGGCGTCCATGGGCAGTCGAACCTGAATCTGTATTTAGTTTTTGCCCAATCCTTTCAATTACAAGGAAAATCGAGAGGAAATCTTTGGGGAACGTTCATAGGGAAATTAAGTGGCTAGCAAAAATTGCTCATTAGCCGACCGGTAACTTGCCGCGCTACAAGGCTAACAAGCTACACCACTGGACAATGAAATATCATATTTGAAAAACGACCGTCACTTTCGCGCGTCTGTAACTCCCTTGTCTTTGAGTTTAAACTATTAGTGTTATACATTTTCTGAAAGCTCTTTTCAAGGGCTACACAATGGTAATATTAATATTTAGAAATACGGTAAAGACAAGGGAGTTACAGACGCGCGAAAGTGACGGTCGTTTTTCAAATATGATATTTCATTGTCCAGTGGTGTAGCTTGTTAGCCTTAACTTCACCTCATAAAAATAAAGGGTTCCCAAAGATTTCGCTCTATTTTCCTTGCAATTGAAAGGGTTAGGCAAAGACTAAATACAGATTCGGGTCCAGCAGCTCCAGTCCAGGTCCAGCAGCTCCAGTCCAGGTCCAGCAGCTCCAGTCCAGGTCCAGCGGCTCCAGTCCAGGTCCAGCAGCTCCAGTCCAGGTCCAGCAGCTCCAGTCCAGGTCCAGCAGCTCCAGTCCAGGTCCAGCAGCTCCAGTCCAGGTCCGGCAGCTCAAATTGGGTATTCTGAAGCACTTGAAGTTCAAAACAAACCGATAATGACTCTATGCTTCCTCCTTGTAAATTTTATCAATCAATTTACCCAAATTGCTACTTTTTTTGAACTATACACTAATTTCAGCGGAATCGATAATGGAGAAAAGTAAGTCTCGGGATAGAAGAGATAGAAGTAGTGAGAGAATAGCGAATCTCATGAGCAATCTAACACGTTTTACCCGTCTCACAATGCTTAAACCGTTAAGCCGCTCAAAAGACACGTAGAGCCACAAAAAAACATTTTTCTAGACAATCAAAATAGTCACTGAAACCTTTAGCGTCACCAACCCTATTGGATCTCCAAAATCTGTCCTTGTTTCCGACGCAGAGACTTGGTAGTTAGTGTGCGGCTTTGTCACAAAGCTAGATGCTGAACTAAATGCTGAACTAAACTAGATGCTGAACTAAATGCTGAACTAAATGCTACAAACTGTTTGAGCGCTTGTAAAATGTAAAAAAAACAAATGAGTGCAGTGGTGAAGATGATGTGGTTTAAAATAGAAGTGTAAGCAAGATCACAAAGAAATTTGTGAGCTTTCTGTTTTCGAACAAAACTCATGTAATTAACTTGTGAAATCTTTAGCTAAGGATGCATGAATGCATAATCATGATTAATCAACGCCTTCAGCCAAACGAAAACCCTCATTTTATTAGAAAAAACTTTCTATATCATATCATTTAATTGCATCATTTAATGATTCACGATTTCTATAAACAAATATACTTGTAGTTGTTGCAAATAAAAGCCTCGCTTTAACAGTTTTTCCTTAAATAGTTAAATAGCTTAAATAGTCTTAAAAATAGTTTTTAATCATTTTAGAAAATAATGCAAAAATTTGTCAGTCAGGGGTGTCGAACCCGTGAGCACAAGGAGACGCGCCCAGACTATGGGATGAGCGCACTAACCCCTAGACCACGAGGCCCTTTTGAAGACCCCGCAACTAGCAGCCTTATAAGGCAATGGTCTTCTTACTCCTGACGAAATTCGAAAAATCTTTTAAAATCATCAACTTTGAGGCAATTTTTCTCAAAAATTTGGTCAGTCAGCGGCGTCGAACCCGTGAGCACAAGGCAAGGCCCAGACCATGGGACGAGCGTACTAACCCCTAGACCACAGGGTCCTTTCGAACCCCCGGCAACTAGCAGCCTTATAAGGCAACGGTCTTATAAGCTTATTCGAAATTTCTTTTAAAATCATAAACTTTGAGGTAATTTTTCTCAAAAATTTTGTTACCTGCTACCCCAGAGATCTACTTTTTCAGATAAAGAACATTTTTTTCCAATAAAATGCCCATTGTCGTTTGGCTGGTGAATCTGTGTAAAGTAGATAAATGAACTAGGGAATTCGGGCACCAAAAAGTGATCTTCTGCTTTTTCACTATGTCTGGATTTCCGTAAAAAATTAAAGACTATTAACAACGATTAAAAACGACTGAAAAACGATCTTTTCAGTATCTCCGCGCTCAGCGGATCGTCGAAATCTCGCGCAACTCAGTTCGACTGGCTGGCAGCTGTGGTCGAGCGTCTTCTCCTTCTCCTTTTCCTGCTTCTTTTCGCTTTAATGAGTGTCGGTATCAATCTAATCGGTTGGTATTATTGGTACATTGCCGGTTTTCAATACGATTTTTATCTCGTTGATACAACCATTTCATAGATTTTCATAGATTTTCATAGATTTTCATCTTTTCATAGCTTTTCATCTTTTCATCTTCATCTTTTCATCTTCATCTTTTACATATGTCTCCACGGGTTCTTCATTGTGCTTCTTGATTTTTCTCCAGTTCTCCTCTGTCAAAGAAACTTGTGTCAAAGAATTTTACGGGTTTGCTATCTGAATGAACAAAGTTTTGCCTCTCTATTTCTATGCTTTTTCTTTTAGATCTTTTCAATTTGAATGCAATGTTTTACTTGGGAAATTTGAAGATAAAGTTTTTAACCTTATACAAACATTACAAAACCTTACAAAACCCTACAAAACCCTACAAAAACCTTACAAAACCTTACAAGACCTGACAAACCCTTAAAAAAAGCTTGCAAAAACCTTACAAAAACCGTACAAAAAAAAAACCTTACAAAACCTTACAAAAACCCTACAAAACACTTACAAAACCTTTCACAACCTTTACAAGGCCCTGCAAGACCTTTACAAGACCACGCAGGCCTGAGGCGGGACCCTGAAGACCCTGAGCCATACAAGATGGCGACAAGACCTTCCAAGGCCCTGGGGCAGCACAAAGACTGTTTCAGACCGCAAGACCCTGCAAGACCTTACCAAAGACGGCTTCAAGGCCAGACAAGACAGCTCAAGGCCTTGCACCAAAGACTGGCTCCAAGGCCAACAGAGACGGCTCGAGGCCCAACAAGGCCCCCAACCAGGAGCGGCGCCCCCCAAGACTGGCTGAGGCCGGCACAAGGCCGGACCAAGGCCAACCCGGGCGCAAGACTGTTTCCAAAGACTGCAAGGCAACGACACAGATCAGAGGAAACTTTATGAATTGAGAGAAGCGACAGATCAGAGCTTTATAAGTGAGACCTTTCAAATCAAGCTTTATAGGAGTGAGAAAGCTTACAAATCAAAGCTTTATAATTGAAACCTTTCAATTCAAAGCTTTATATGTGAAATCTCTCAAATCAAAGCTTTTATAAGTGAAACTTACAAATCACACTGAATCACATCACGAAATTAACAATTAACAACAAGAATTAGCAGCTAAACTGTTGAATTTCTCGTATGACGTCAACCTGATTACTTATAGAAAGGATTTTGAAAGAAAAAAAATGATAGTTTGATGTTAATTCTTCGATTTTTAAACGAAATCCTAGTTTGACAAATCGACAAATTGTAGTAGCTTTGAGGAAACGTGAAAAAAATAAGCAATCTCTTTTATGGGCTTTTCGATACATGAGCCAATCTCCCGTCAAGAACCCTCATTTCTGGCCTATTCTTGCTTTTCTTGCCTATTTTCTTATCCATTTCTTGCCCATTTCTTGCCTATTTCTTTGCCAATAAATCTCGCAAACGCTTTTCTTAAGAAATACGAGCTCTTGTTGAGCTTTTTTAAAGAAATCGCATCGTTTTAACTCGAATTTATTGTAGGTATTGCAAGTGTCCAAGTGTGTGGATCGGTTTTTCATATTCAACAGCAGAATAGTAGTCGGCCAGAAAGTCTTTTCCTCCCTTTTAAAGCTAGCTTTTTGAGATGAATAATAAAACAATCGATTTATGATTTGTTTTATCAGAAAGTTCTATTACTTATTGACAAATTCCCTTAGAAGAAATTCTGAAAAGCTCGGGTTATTTCATTTTTTTTAAAAGCTGTAAAGTCGAGCAGTGAAAAGCGATGAAGCTCAGCACTTTTGTGCACTTTTTACCATAGAAACTTATTTTGATGTCAAAAGAGAAAAGATAGAAAATAAAAGTTAGGTAGATAGACAAATTTTCATAAAATTTCATCAAACCCTTTTCATTATATGTCCATTGTAAGGATTGCAGAACAAACAAGAATTCCTGTTCGGATTTGCTTTAAAGC